CAGAGATTTAAATCACAGTGTCACAGGGCAGAGATTTTTCTGGGGAGAAACCAAGGTGGCTTTCTGCCACAGCTACAATCTGGATACCTGCCTTAAAGCAGAGCACATACAGGCAGCAGTGGAAACTTTTCCCAGTGACATGCCTTCACTCTGATTTAGAGTATGATCTCTTTAAAAGTCTGTGAAAAAGATGACATTTAATAATGATTACCTTCATTATGACATGTTTCCAGGAAGTGGAATGAGACCACCAACACTATGTACACAGACTTCCAAATTACCCTCAAGATAGACTTGAATCAGTGACCAAAAATGTCACATTGAGTCACACTGCTAAACACTTGATCTATTCAATTATTCCCCTCATCCATTCTCCAGTAAATTTTCTCCCTTCTTTTACAATATAAAACAGCAACAACAACAACAAAAGAATACCCATCACAATACATAACTCAGCAATATACAAAATATTCAGGTCAGGCAGATGTATCAGAAAATTAACTAACTTTTTCTCCAAAGCAAAAACTTGAGGGGACATTTTCCGGTCTTTAAAACAACAAACTCGGTGTCCATTTTCTTAAACATACATTTTGTCACAATAGTAGCCATTTAAATATCTAAGTTTGAATTGTGCCTCATTAACCTTAAAACTTAATGCAGCTAATATGCCAAAGTAATGTTAGCTATTTACAGACAACTTACAGATATTAAGGGTGGCTACTATGTTCCTATGCAACACATGCCCATTCTGAGAAAACCCATGAAAATAATCTGCTCTTCTCCTACGTGGTTCAAGAACAAATTGAAATGCACTTTGACCTATAAGATTCCTAGTTAAACAAGGATTGTTTTTCTTTAATTACCTTTATTTTATAATTTATGTTTTGGAAGTTGAGAAAACACAAGCATTTATAAAAACCTTCATACATTTTCATGTTCCATTTGAGTTTTTCTTGTGCTCATCTATAAGTTTTAAAACCTCTCTTTATATATTTTTTATTCTAGTTGCTGGTGATAACAAGAACTTAACACGGAGGGATGGCTGCATTTAATAAGCTCCTTCCTATGCTGTTAGTCAGAGTATGACATGCTCCAGCTCTACTCACTGCAGTGCCAGCATCTATGCAGCCAGTTTACGGGCAAGCCAGTCGGCACCACGCAACTGGAAGGAGTTCCACTGGTTGGTCCGGTGCTCAAAATCTCCGGGCTTAAAAAAAGCCCAGAAGCAAAGCCAGGGGAGAGAGAGGTGGGAGCACTGGCAATGGAGCTGGACACTCTTCCCAAGGCCAGAAGGGACTCAGCACATCCCTCTCCCCATGGCCAGAAGGACCGGGATGCACGCCACATAGCCAGCTGGGAGCCGGTAACTCTCCCTGGGGCTAAAGTCCCCAGAAAAAGTCTGGAAGCCCAGACCGCTCAGGCAGCACCAGGGATTCAAACAGGTGCCAGTTTGATTGCTGGAGCTGGCAGGCCAAGCAGCCCAGACCCAATACTGTTTTCCGGCACCCGTGACAACCCCCACAGGAATATGCAGGTCAGCTGGGGCTAAGAGAAAACCTGGCATGAGACACCCCCACCCCCAGCACCACAAATTCTGGTGGAGCATTCGCGGAATCAGAGGGTCCCAACAGGGGAGTGTGCAGGTGTGGAGGGATGTGCCCTGCGGCATTACAGTACCTGGTCAGGTGGAACTCAGATCACAAAGCATGCCCAAAAAGGGGCATCACTGACTTAAGAATGTGTGGGAAAAGGGTGTGCTGGGCACTGAGACAGCCACACACCAAAGAAAAGTACTTTGCAGGGGGGCATCAGTGCCCTGCCCATCACACCACCTGAGCTCTGAGCTATTTTCGTTGAACTATTGTTGTGATTTTTGCAACCTGACAGGGCCACAGCCAGACCCCCTGCAGCTGTCATCATCACTAGACCTCAGCAGAGGAAGAGAAAGCCCCATTCACCAGATTTGAGTGTCATCCAGGCTGATCCTAAACGCACAAGCGGAAAGGGGGTGGGTGTAGAGGAGGAGCCCCACAGGTGTGGCAGCACAGAAACCACTGAACACCTCTGGAGGTAAAACCCAGCATAACAACAAGTCGTGGCAGACGAACAGACCCAGGTGTGACATAGCCCAGGAGGTGGGGCACACACATTGGCTGGTGCAGTAGTCATGAGCTTGTCACACAGTAATTGCTGTTAGACCCTGAATACACAATCTGGTCTGTAAAACCAGTTGCTTTTATCTATGGACGGTCCCAAACTGTTAATCTTCTGTAAATATACCATCACTTGTTTTTTTGGTTGTTGTAATCAACTCCCATCTGTAGATGCCTTTTGTAATGGTTTGTATAAATATTAAATATTTAAGCATTACCTGCACTTAGGTCAATAATATTGACTCCTCCTGAGAAACACAACACATCAAACTATCAAGTGTTGAATAGCAGTAAAAAATCCAGACATATTTTCACATTATTTTCCACAACTGATAACAGCAAATAGCAAGGGAAATTTAGGTTAGATATTAGGAAAAACTTTCATACTAGGAGGGTAGTAAAAAGGTAGTGGAATCTCTCTCTTCAGAAGTTTTTAAGATCTGGCTAGATAAAGCTTTGGCTAGGATGATCTCGTTGGGGCTGGTCCTGCTCTGAGCAGGTAGTTTGACTAGACATGACCTCCCGAGGTCCCTTCCAACCCTCATGTTCTTGGATTCTACGATTCCATCGATTCTGCTTGATTGCAATGGAGTCTACTCTGCTTTACTTTAGAAGGTGACAGGACCACCAAAAAAATGCAAAACTCTGTAACTCTTGGTTCAGAGACAATATCTTTTATTCAACCAACTAAGAAATTGCGAAAATAAATAAAATAAAATAAAATAAAAATCCTTTTCAGCAAGCTTTTGGGCTCACACACCCTCCCTCAGGCTCAGGAAATAATTGAAGATGGTAAAAAGTCCCCACAGGTTGGAAATACACTTCATTTTTTTTATAGAGGAAGCTGAAGATGGAATTGTCTTTAATTTCCCAAGCCCGAGGAAGGATGCGTGAGCGCGAAAGCTTGCAGAAATATATATTTTTTGCAATGTCTTAGGTGGTCTAATCAAAGGTATCATCTCTGAACCACGAGTTCTAGAGTTTTGCATTTCTGTTTCAGACCAACGCGGCTGCCGAATACAGCCCTGCACCACCAAAGCACACTGCTGGGGATTTTTCCCATAAGACCTTTCAATCTACTGCCTAAAAAGAGGCTTGGGTGACAAAACTTAAGAGGACTCGATTTTTAGCTGCGTGCGACCGTTTCGGACGTCCCCGCAAAACGCCCCTGGTAAAAGCGGGCAGAGGCACGTTTTGTCGGCGTGGGTCTGGCGCTCGGGGGGATCAGATCTTAGTGCTGCAGTTTCACGGAGCGCTCCGCGCGGTCCCAGCCTGACGAGAGCGCGGAGCCGGATCACGATGGAGGCGCATAGTCCTGCGGCTGCGGGCGACTGCTTCTGCCTTTGACACCGGAGCGCGGCGGGACGGGCCGAGCCGCTCCCCCCGCGCAGCCCGGCCCCGCCATTGAAGTGATGTCCCTGCCGCGCTACAGGAACGCATCGCCGGGCCCCATCGCTTGTCCCCGGGAGCTGGAGAGGAGGCCGCTGAGGGTGGATAGCGCCGCGCTTCATCGCTTGGGTCTGGAAGGTACCGGGCGGGGCGGGGCGCGCACCCGCCGCTGAGGGGGAGGCTGGGCCGCGCTTAGCGACAGAAAAGCCCTGCCCCCCTGCCCGTGGGAGACGCCATGCTGGCTCCCCGTCTGCCTCGGTGGCTCGCGAGCCTGCGGCGTTGCAGTAAGAGTCGGGGGCGCGCGGGGGGGGGAGATGGGCCTCTGCGCACGCCCCCGGGCTCCAGGGGAGGAGGAGGGGGAGGGGCCGGGAGAGTCCATTCTGCGGCG